CTGTAATGGCCAGGCCAGTCCCCAGCCAGGGGCACTGGGCTCTAGTTCAGGGAGCTCAGGAAAGCCCAACGAGTCATTTCTTTTCTGCATAGCTGGTTTTACACAGAACTCGGTGGATGTAGTGCATGGTCAGTGGCCTTCTGCTGAGTCCTACGGAGCCAGCAAACACGACCCATTAGCCAGTGACTCTGTCCAGCTCCCTGAGACACTACCACAAACACCGCTTTGTTCAGCAGGTAGGGGAGGGGTTAGAACTCACCACCATCTCCCTCTGGGGAGGTGTGTCGCAGGGCCAGGTTAAGTCAGCCTCTCCACTGTCTGAGACACTGACTCCCTGCAGCAGGACAAGCCAAATGAGAGAGTAACTCGGTCAGTGGCTTGGAAGCCACGGAAAGTGAGGGGGCCTGAGCACTCCAGCTCCAAACAAAGGGCCTGCCCGTGCCTGGCCTCTGCCACCCCCACCCCTCTCTGGTACTCAGGAACATCCTGGGCATGGCATTAAGGAACAGGCCTCACTTAGCCACTGGACTAAGTTTAGACAGGAGCTTGCCTGGCACTGCGAAGGGAAGCCAGAGTCACAGAGACAGCCGTGCTCTGGGCAGGAGAGCCACTTCTGACTCCTCCATGAAGCCCTCTAAATAAGCAGTGTTCAGCGAGCACATGGGACTTCACATGGACCTGTGCTTCTATTCAGTCTGCACGTTCGCCTTCATCACCGTAGAGTCTTTACGTACGCACCCATGGGCCTGTGACCACCCCTGCAGAGCCTTATTCCATATGGCATAATCGCTGCATTGCAGTGGTATTGCACTCTGCCTAGGGAGTGTGTCTAAAAGCAAAGGCCCACGAGGTACACAGCTTCATCTTCCCCAGCCCCTTTTGCACTCGCTTTGGCTCAGAGGTGAGTGACACACACAGAATAAAAGGCCTCTTCTCTCTGTGGGCTCGATCCTGTGCTCAGTAAGACCATTGACTTCAGTGGCAGCTGGAGCAGACCCCCTTTCTTCCCAGCAGTTTGCTCTCAAACCCAGCTAGCAGCAGGGCATGCTGGAAATACAGGAGTCCCTTTGGTTGGAACATTTATCAATTTCAGCAGCACTTCTAGCTGAGCGGCTCCACTCGAGCGTTATAACCCTGTGCTTTGTGTGCTAATTAGAGTCAAGCACAGGGAGTGTCACACCCTTCCTGCTGGTCAGCTGCTCCAGTGCTTGTGACTGCCTTCTCCCGCCCAGCTCTGTTTATTCACTGACTAGTGGCTCATAAGGAACCCAAAGGGAGGGTGTTGGGGGGCAGTTCAATTAACATTCCAAACAATGTCCTCTGGGGTTTCCCACTGACTTGTATGTTCATAAAACTTTCTAATTTCATCTCTGAATCCAGGAAGACTCATTATAAATAAAAAGTACATGGTGGAGATCAGCTGGCCAGGCGTTTTTTTACATTAAACCCCTTGGATACTACATATGAGCAGGTACATATGTATACACATAGCATGGGACCCGGGGTATTCATTTGGCTGGCAGTCAGTCCCTGTTTTATGGGTGATGCTGGACTAACTCCTGAGGCTGAGATGCACACAATAGATACATCAAATAAACGCCTGTCACTGCTTTACATTCCTCTGCTTGGTGATCATCATTCTAGGACCAATTCATGGCACTGCTCCTGGCACTCCTGCTAGCCCAACTCTATCACTGGTACATGATTCTAGTACCAGCTAGGATGCCACTGCTGGGAACTTCATCCTTAACTTCCCCCACCAGTTAAGGCTGCCTCAGCAGCCTTCCCAAGGTCATTTAGAAAGGTAGCAGCTTGGGTTCTAGTGCTCAGTGCCCATGGAGACTGTAACCTTGCCAGTTTCCATGCGGCAAGGACCCGGCTGCTAGGACTATAATATTGTGAGCTATTTAGGAGCAGTGAACCAGAACTGCAGCCCACCGTGGTTCTGAGACCTCTACCCGTCCCTGCACACACAATGAGGAAGAACTGGAGGTGCCCTACTAAGGGAAAGAATGAGCGTGCTAGGTGGGAGCACTGCTATAAGATGTTTTACATGTGACACAGACAACCTCCTGCAGGACTTGGTAATCAAAAGGAGCAAACACAGATAGGAGAGGGCAACTTACATTTAACTCTGCCTGAAAGGAAACTCAAAAGCAAGACAGCCAAAGTTCCGTAGCACTAGGCATTCATGCAGTTAGAACACCTGTTCTCCTTGCACTTGTGGCAGCGAAGAAGGCGATGCTTTCCTACAGCCTGGTAGAGATCTAGCAGCCAGAAAGGTTCCAGCATTTCCCACTGCTGAGGGTTTATACATATGAGTGCATGATCACAAGTGAACAGCTTTGAGCAGGCACGCAGAATGCCAACCCAGAAATAGCATTTAGTAGGCACTTGGGCCCTACGTAACACTTTTATCTGCATTTCCAGCTTAAACTGAAGATGAGGAGCTAAGAGACTGGGTCTATTTAACCTCACTGTGAACAGCTGGGGAGACATTTATCGTCTCTCTCAAACCAAAGAATTTTAGAGGCCCTCAAGGTTTAGTGGGAAGAGTCTCACGTTATTCAGTACTCTCCATTTACACAGTGCTATAGATCAAGCCATGTTACAGACTATCCTAGTCCAGGAGCCAGCCTACAGCTCCTGTTACCGCTTTCCGTAAAGGTTCTCCTAACATACGCATATGGTCAGTAGGGAATGGCAGGATGGCTATTTCCCTTAGCCCATGTCTCCAGACCTGAAGGACGCTATTTCCAGCCACAGGAAACAACACATCCTTGGTTGCAGGATACAGGCAAAACTTCGCTGGCAGCTGGGTTTGACAGCACTTGGCAACCACTCTTAGATTATATGCATTAGTTCGACTCTAAAGGGGAGTCACCCACCCACACAGAGTTAAAGATCAGGGATCTTCCAATATGGAGAGGCAACTCCATTAACTATACACATCCTTTATTGTCCTTGGAGATGTGAGAACTAATGCATCTGCATAGTCTAATTCTCAGCAGGCTGGTAACAAATGCAGAGCTCTGGTAATGCATACCCAGAGTCAAGAGCGCTGCTGGCCATAAAGATTATTGATGGGAGCCTGTAATGCGTTTGCTATTGTATTGTCACTTCTATGGATGCTTAGCAAATCTTTGCTGAACCGTTCCCCCTCCACCCACACATAGTCTAAAGAATGAAGCCCCCCGGCTTTCATCACCCACTAATAAACCAGTATTTATTTACCCAACATGAAGCTCATTGCAAGCAAAGGAGAAAGCAACTGTCTATCCCTCACTCCTCCTGAGGCATTAGATGTGGAGGAAGCACAGAGCTACCTTTTGATTCCTCAAACAAGGAGGCTGTGCAATTATGGGGTTGTTGCTGTTACTGTCCCCCCTTTGGGTTTTGGGGAGCCTCACAAGAGGATGGCATGGAAGGCCTCTGCATCCCATTGAGGTATCTGCAGAGCTCCCAGTCCAGCCCCACAGTGCAGGCAGAGCAGCAGTGGCTGAGAGCAGCAAACAGAGACACTTCAGCTTCTCCCTCCCAAGAACAGAAGACCCTGGATGCCAGTTTCAGTTTCCCCAAGAAGAATCACTGTTAAGAGTCCCCACTCTATGTGGATTGTGTCAGGGGATTTCAGGCTGGTGTCCAACTCCAGAGACCTTTAACCCAGGTGCATGTGATGTTGCAGGAGAAAGGAAGCACAGAGGCTACATAGCCATTCTTAGCACATGAGAGGATGGAAAACTCCTGCATCCTGACTCTGAGTTAAGGCTGGACCACCTGGGAGGAACCCTCAGTGAGTGCATATGGAGAGAGAGTGCTGCTTTAACTTGGGGAAGGGGCCTACTAAAGCTGAGCACTGGTGGAGCCATCTTCACCACCACAACCCCCCACCCAGCACCAACCCCTTAACCCCAGTACAATCCACTCACAGCATCCAAAACTAGCCCTGCATTTTTGCCCTGGCCCCCCAACCCTTTATAATGGTCCCAGGCAGGTAGGTTACAGAGTGGCTTTTAGTCCTGGGGGGAAAGAGGTTGAGTGTCCCTGCGCTACAGCACTTGACTTACAACTATTTCCAGACTCTTGCCATGGTCTAGGGCTACCTTCCTTATCCTGATCTTCTAGCACCTGCCCAAGTCTATCCCCACCTCAATTCCGGCTCGTTTCATCCTGCACTGCACCCCATGTATCCCGCTCTGCTCTGCCCAACCCTCCCTTTAGCTGTTACTTTGCAGTCGTCCTCCCTCCACCCTTCCCCGCTGAGCAGCAATCCAGGTTATTCTAGCTGAGTCACACTAAGCACCTCCAGGAGATATCCTGGCTTACAGAGTTATTAAATCACTTGTGACACTAATAATTCTCAGCACGTCCTAACATTGAACAATGCCTGTAACAGCCACGCAGCACAGCGCTTGGTCTGAGGAACTTTATTTCACAAATATTTACTGGTTATGGGGATGATTCATATACTATAGCATCAAAAGGTTAGGCAGGTAACAATAACCATCCTTCCACAGAAACAACATGGTCGTGTCCGCAGATCTGTGTTTAGTGTCACCCTGTAGTAGACCATAGAGACTGTACAACGGAAGACCTGGTACAGACGGCGGATAGAGGCTCCGCTCATTCCTGTGCCAGGGAGAGAGAGGTTTATGTGCAAATGGTGAACAGAAGCTACATTCTAACACAGACAGAAATGACTGGCTCACCTGGGGCTCAGAAACAAGGAGTAACACGCAGTCACATTGGTGCCAGGGAGAAGGAAATAACAGCTGCAAATAAGAACATCTCAAAATGAATTACAAGAAACATCTGGACAGATGCTGGGGAGGGTTTGGGACAGGAAGGAATGAGTCTTGGGGCCACTCAAAAACCCTGCTAGACCATCCTAGGTCACTGCATGAGGCAGCATCCCCTTGACCCATGATGTGCTGCACATTAACAAGCACTCAGCCTGCCCCAGTTAGTGTTTGTCTGTCTCTGTCCCTCCCCAGCCCTAGCCCTGCTCATGGTCCAGCAATCCTGATGGTATGTGCAAATTAGATTAGCTTTACTGGCTCATGGTCTTCCCCTCACCCCAGCCCCTGAGACATGGTCCACATAACTCATTATGGGCTTGCAAGGTGGAAATAAGTAACATTCTACATGTGACTATGCAGACATGAGCAAGCTCACGGTCCACATCACAGCACTGCGAGGGGCCCTGCTCAGTGCTGCCATGTGTTGAACCCTGAGGTCTGAAGCACAAGCAGCTCCTACAGGTGATATCTCTGGAAAGCACTGACCCTGGTGTATGGCAGGACACAGGCCAGTGCGACATGGCACTCCTCTCAGGTTGCTACACAGGGGTTTCCGCCTAAGAGGGCAGGGCAGTAGTGTTCGGGGTCACGTAGAGTCAAACTCTCCTGGAAGGATTAGTATGGCCTGTAGTTCCAGTAGCTGGAAAACACAGAGATCTGGAAAAACAAGGGATAAAACAGGTAGGCCCTTGGGTTCCCTGGATCCTTGTTAAATATCAGTCTCATGTTAAAACTGCTTCTTTCTGTTAAAGGGACAGCTTCCTCCCCCACCCCACCTCACAGGCCAGACCCGGAAGCAGCTCTGGGGATGAGAGAAGCTGGAAGGAGGCCATGATTCTCTTAGATCTGGGTCCTCACTTGGAGTCAGTAATTCTCCAATCTCTCTCTGGCCACATCCCTCCCAAATCCCAGGAGCCCCCTCCATTTTCTTTTACATCCCTCCCTTTAACTCAGAACAATGGCTGCTCCCAGCTCAATGGGGCTGGGCAGAGCTTGTTTCAGCCAGTGGGATTTCTGGAGAGTGACATTCCCTTCATACCTCCTCCAGGGCACACACAACTCAGGCCAGGAGCAACCGGCCACGCTTGAATCCTAGGGACCAAATGTGTGTGTCTCAGCAGTGATCCAGAACCAGTGTTACCAACAGTCTACTGGTTCTTGATGGGTTTATATGGATCCTGCCAGAGTGTTCTAGCCCTGGCTATGTAAGTAGTGGTTCCTGGTTCCAAGTTCAAGAGCAGTTACAATGGGCCAATTATTATTTGTCACATTTGTCTATGGAGCCATAGTTGTGCGTAGTGTTTTACACAGAGTGTGTCACTGCTACAGGCATCATATAATGTACAGCAGATACACACCAGACCACTAAGCACTGACATGGCACTTCTCAACCAAGGAGCTCAAAGCACCCTGCAAGGGATGGGAAATATTATCCCCATTTTACAGATGGGGAAAGTGAGGCAGCGTGATGAGGTGACGCACCCAAGGTCACGCACCAGATAAGTGGCAGAGCTGGGAACAGATCTCAGATCCTCCTGAGTCCTAGTCTGACCACACTGCCTCTTCAGCGGCTCTGAACCTCTGGATCCCCATCTCAGTTTCTCAATGTATGGCCAGGGCCCTTAGCCCAGGAACACACATTTCTGAAACAGCATAATTAGTCCCTCATATGACCTTATGAACAGATTCCCCCTTCTGCTCCTGGAAACCCGCCCGATGAGTTACACTGCATACACAGTCCACACCAGGGTACCTTTGCCAAGTGTCTTTATTATTGTTTTCTCCCTTGTGCTCCAAGTACAAGGGAGGGATAGCTCAGTGGTTTGAGCATTAGCCTGCTAAACCCAGGGTTGTGAGCTCAATCTTTGAGGGAGCCATTTAGGCAACTGGGGTAAAAATCAGTTTGGGGATTGCTTTGAGCAGGAGATGACCTCCTGAGGCCCCTTCCAACCCTGATATTCTATGATAAACATAGCAGCAGTTAAAGGGAGCCCCATTCCTGCTCCCCGGCCCAGCATTTTATACTGTTTGCCTTCTCCCTGGCATTCAGCTGGTGAACTAATTGCCTCATTAGCAAATCTGGTTCTTTACAAGTGTAAGTGACACTTGTTACCTAGCAAACCCCCTCCGAAGTGAACAGGCTGCTGGATTCCAAGGGGTTCTCTCTGCAGCTGCTAACAACACCCTGTTACTAAATCTCGTCCAGTTATTCAGAATTTTAACTAGACTCCTGCTGTGTAGCACCTACCATTTGTCAGCTCCATAGCAACAGTTTTCATTATTTCCCTGAACATCCTGTGCCATCGATACATAGAACAAATTACATCATACTGCATACTGATCTCTGTGCCAAGCACTCATGGTCAAATCCATTCCAGCTCACGAGAGCACCTAGGTAATTAATTTGAACCTACTAACAGAACTCCTGCCCATGTCCCTACCTTGTCCTTCAGCTGCTGGCAGAGCTGCAGAGAGACCGTGAAGAAGACAAGGGCATCATTTAGCCAAGGTACCACACACTCCACTTTATGGACATGGCTGACTTCATATCTTTGGTTGCCACACTCACTGCAAAGAGAACACACCACAGCTGCTCACAGACAGGGCTCCGTGGACTCTGATGAATCCAGGGGCTACACTAGCTAAGTCAGGGTTGGACTATAAATTATAGGGGCGTGAAGTGCTCATGAGAATGAGGCTCAGTGTGCTAGTTAGCAGACATATGCCACACAGCTTCCGCTCCACAGTTCTGCCAAAGCACCTTCCCCCAATAGTCCAGTCCTAGATTAAGCAATAGAGATGGCAGACTGTGAAACCTATCCATTGTAGGCAGCCACATCCAGTAGACATTTAACTCCATTTTACATGTAGTCAAATTAAGTTGAACCCAAGCTTCTAAATGGAGAGGCTAATGCATTTAGCTCACTGCACCACCCATTTCATAGCTTAGTTTCAGTTATACTGCTGCCACCCCCAGGTGCGGAGAATCAGTATGAATCACTTAGAACTCTTCCCCTCCCTCCCCCTGTTATGAAAGAAACCACGAGGATTTCTGTCAGAAGCACATGGTTACACCAGACACCTGCCAGACATGCTGAATATGAAACTGTTTTAGCCCAGCTTAGACAAGGTGCAGTGTCAAGCATTGGCTAACCAGGGCACATGCAGGGGCAGCAGCACAGGGAATGAAACACTGATTGTAGTGGTGGGAGGTTAATGTTCTCTTTTGTGCCAGGCCTGAGCTCCCTGCCAGCCCCTTCCTCTCTAAGTGAGGACTGTATTTTGAACAGCCACGTTTGTCTGGGCTAGGGAATGAGTGATTAAAGAGATCTGGCTATTGCACCAGTGCTCAGCAGGTACAGCCCCAGCACTGGCTCACTGGAGCTGCCCTACCTAAGCGCTTGTCTACACTTACAGCGCTGCAGTTGTGCCGCTGTAGCACTTAGGCCATGTCTGCACTTACAAGCTTACAGCTGTGCTGCTGTACCAATACAGCAGTGTCGCTGGAAGAGCGGTCATGTAGCCATGTTAGGCCGAAGGGTGAGAGCTCTCCCGTCAACGTAATAAAACGGGAGAGCATCTCTTGCTGACATAGCCCTGTGCACACAAGCGCTTACGCTGGTACAATTTATGTCGCTCAGGGGGATGTTTTTTCACATCCCTTAGCAACAAACATTTTGCCGACATAAGTGCTAGTGTAGACATGGCCTTAGTGAAAACTTTACCTATACCGACAGGAGAGCTTCTCCCATTGGTGAAGCTACTCCACCTCCCTGAGAGGCTGGCTACCCCTGGGGTTAGGTTGGTATGACTACGTCTCCCAGGGGTGTGGATTTTCCACACCCCTGAGTGACGCTGTTATACCAACGTAAGTCTGTAGTGTAGACCTGACCTAACAGATGCTCTCCTTGGCCAAAAATTCAAAGCTATTCATAAGCAGGGCTAATGCTAATGACTGTGTTCTGGCCATGAGTCAGTGTAGGACATCACCCTCTCCTACACATGCTATACAACCCTTCGGATGACAGTACTTACAACATGGCTCCAGGGTTATGCAGAATAGACCCTCCAGTAGGTCTGAAGTTCTACACAAAGGATGAAAGAGAGAAATAAGTCACTTAAAATCTGACATAAGGAAAAAAAATGCAATCAAATGATTTGTCAGGATGTACTGACAAAATGCAGCTGAGACTCACATTTACTGCTATATACAGGGAGACAGTGGTTTGAGATCAAGAAACATGGGCAGGTGTATGCATAGGAGTTAAGAGTGAGCAAAAGGCAGAGCCAAAGAGCCTCTAGCATCTGGTCCCTTCCTGCACCTTACGAATAGTCCCAGAAACTTTTTGAAAACAAAATCCATCGCCCTGCAGGGTTTTTATCCCAAAACACAGCACCACTGAGAACCTGAGTGTGAAACTCACTAGAAACTGGTTATAAACCAAATGAAACTGACTAGCCTTATTTCCACTGTCCAAGCTGAGAAATGCAAGTGGTCAAGCAACATCGTGAAAATGAAATTAGCTCTTTAAAATTCCTTTGGTTTAAATAATCTAAAATGTATTTGCAACACAGATAAGGGATTTTTATTAGAAAAACATCAATTAACTTGACTGTGCCCCTTTAACACTATAAAGGAACTGACCCAAACATATTTTTAAAATAAAATATCATGTGGGTAAATTTAGTGATTACTCCCTCTGAGGCTCACTCAAATAGCTCCATCTTTGCTAAATCATCATGCCCAAACTTAAGTTTGCGCTTCCAGGAGGACCAGTTGTTCTGGCTGCATCCTGACCTAATTCCAGGTACCTAACACTAAACACACTCATCCCATGCTCTGGAGATCTCACCACCTCACGTTATAAGGTGTCAGCATCATCCAGGGAACTGAGATCTCCTCTTTTTAGCCCATGTCTCCCCTGACTGGGAAAGGTGAAGAAAGGAGACTACCTTGGTGGAATTGGGCTGCAGTGCATGGAGCTGGTAGACAGTCAAACACAGCTTATTTAGGTTGATGTAAAAATTCACAAGGATGTCCGAGGGCAGAGCAGGGGTGAACATTTTCTGTGAGAAAATAAAAATGATTTCTGCATCAGTGACAGGACCCTCTGTTTCTAAAGCTAGGGTAATACTACCGTAGAGTCTCTTCCATAAAAAAAAAAAAAAAAAAAGTGAGGCAGAGAGACGTTAACAGCTTTAGGCAAAAGAGAAAAGCTATGTTTTATAGAGAGACTGTAATAGAGACCTGACCATACATGATGGCTATTTCTCTTGTTGCACCTGACTTCTAGACAGCTCTTGCACCAACACGGTGTAAGGGAACAGAGGAGATGGGAGTTAGACTCCATAGTTTGTCTCTCTTTAGAGTTTTGCTCTGGAGAAGCCCAGTTGACAAAGCCAAAACCCTTTCTCCTGGCTGTGGGCTCTTTAAGCCCAGGTCTGCTGCTCCCTGCAGCAGAGAAAGGTAGACCGACCACCAATACTGAGCACAGGGTCTACATCTGCTTCCATACAACGGAAGTTATACAAGACTAAAAGGGGGATTCTCTTACACTGCGTACAACAAGGGTAGATTAGAATACAGCAAACCACGTCCCCATCGTGGAGGGACATGATAGCCCTCACTAGTGGGTGGAGAGAGGGAGTGTGCAGTATAGGCCAAGACTGATATAAAGTTACCGTAAGGCCGCTGGAGGCAATTTCTGGTAGGGTCAAGGTGGCTGGAGTAGTGAGCCGGTTCCGAGCTCGTGTCAGCTGTAACATCACTGCATCCATCAGCTAGGAAAGAAAACACATTCCTGTCTGAGGGCCATGATGCAGCTTTGGAGGGCGAGCTGAAGAGCCTGGGTAACACGCATGAGTTGTTACAGGGGAAACTGCATCAAGGAGTTGCACTGATTCAAGGCAGGGCGTCAACTCTACACACACGCTCCCGCCCGAGGCTCAAACAGAAGCAAGCAGCTCTCGCTCAGGCCCCTAGAGAGCAAAGGCCTCTTCAGGTTACCCACGGGGAGGCACATTCTGTCAATTGCATCTCCCTGCAATGTTCCCAACAAAACCACAGCAGCCTAACTGGCATCACTCCAATGCTCTGTCAACAACTTACTGTCACCGGGAGAAGCTTCCAGATCAGAAAGTGCGGACGTTTCATATAAGAGCCTCTGCTTTTCTACAGGATCTGCCATTGGAAGAGCTTGGAGCTCCTGGATATTCTGTTGCTCTGAATCCTAACCAAGTAGCTTGCTTTAAAGAGAGTCAACTCATGCCACAGACCTCTCCCAGCATCCTTACAATGAGACCAAGCATCATAATTTGCTCTGCAATTTCTTCTAAACAGCAGAAGGTATTTGCATCCGAGTCACCTCCCTCCCAGGTTGTCTCCCCCCACGCTCCCGACCTACATGATCCCACTGTGAAATCTTCACACTAAATTAACACCCTCCTTGGCAACAGGGTTAGAAACAAAATGAACCTGCTCAAGCTGGGCTGGGAGAGAGACTGTATTGCTTTAAGAAAAGAGAAGCGGGAATTCAGAGACTTACTGGGAAAGAAAATTGCTGTTTATAAGTGTAATTTTGCTGGCAAAAATGTACCACTGTCATGGAGCCTTACATAAAAAAGGACAAGAATGTTTACAGAAGTGTCAGCCCACATTCTCCTCCACCCCACTTTACCCCTCTTCAGGGTAAGTCTCCACCAACTCCAGCTAAAAAAAAAAATGCCCGTTGTGCCTTATGTAAGAAACAGCAGAGAAAACAATTTAAAGATTTTAAGTGCTGACAGTCATAGAGGGATCTAAAGACACTAAAAGCTCTTCTAGAAGCTTTACATACAAAAGAAGAGAAAAATGTTGCCTAATTGCTCTGATGGGCTCCAATCCTGCATGTGCAGAACTTTAGTCATGTGAATCATCATATGGATGTCAATGAAACTACTCACATGAATAAAGTTATGCACACTCTTGAGTATTTGTGGAGCAAGCTCTTTCCTATGACTCTGTGACAGTGGTGGCTTTTTCACTTGGCAGGAATATTGCATCTTGAAGGTGAATTTCCTCAGATATAGTCCCTATTTTGGGAAAAATACCCAACCCAGCATTCTGGGGGAGCTGTGTTCATCTGCTACAGCACTCATGACTATAGAATGTTAAGGCACTCTGAACTACGACTCATCTTCTCCCCAGGGGAGAAAAAGGGTTGGTGGCCAAGTAAAAACGGAACAGGCTCTTTCTCACACTTGATGTGCTGAGAAGTTACAGCCACCCGGTCCAGTGGCTAGGACTCTAGCCTGGGACCTGGGTTTGAGTCCCTGCACTACCTTGTGTGACCAGTCTCTGCAGAGATTTCAACTCAGTACAAAAAACCCAACACAGCGCAGCTGCATTAAAAAGAGGGGAGAAATGTGGAATTGGAGAGTCTGTCCTCTTACCCCACCTCCCAGAGAGCATTCTGCTCACCTTGAGGACCTCAGAGCCTGTTTTGAACTGGTAGTTTACATCTCGGTTCGTGAGCAGGTAAATTGCTTGGTTAACGTGGTTTCTAGCATCCTGGATCTGCAAAGGTACAAAATGCAGCCCTGTCAAATCAGTTCCCTCTGAAGTAATGCTAAAAGGTAGACTATCCCACTGCTGTCTCCCAGGATCCATCCTGTACCACTGCACAGACAGGAAAGGAAATGTTGATCATCCCATAATACTGAAAGCATTTTCTCCTGGGCACTCGGCACTCACCACTAAAGAAAGCTGTTACCTCTGCCATTCAGATCATAAAATTATTGGTCTACCATTTTAAGAAACAATGGTCTGAAGTCTGGGGCCTGCTATTTTATGTCCTGGACCATCAAACTAGCACTGGTGGTTTGAAGGAGTAGTGATGTCAGGTAGTCAGCTCTCATGAGCAATCAGGGCCAGAAACAAAAAAGTGATACATTGCTATCCAGCTAGGCATTCCCACTGTCTAGGATACAGGGCATTCAGAGTACATTCTGGTTACTGTCTTTGCCCTGTCTCCGACTTCTTCAGCTGTGATTGGATTACAGTGGCTGCTCTTAAGAATCATTGCCATAGAGCTAAAACCAATACAACATCTGAATACTCTGAGAGAACAGAAAGCATTGATTTCTAACTTTAAGGTGCATTGGAACAGTGGATTACCAACACCCTAGAGTAGCTGCTGTAGCATTTGGGTGCAGGGGAACACATCACTGGGGCTTGCCTCTTGAGCAACCTTTGATAGAAGAGACCTGAGGCACATCTAGCATGAACCCCTGTGACTCTTGCAGCATATGGTCCATTAACAGAGCAATCCTGCCAGAGCTGCCCATAACACGAGCGAGGAAAAACAACGTAAAGAAAGGGTTCACTGGCAGGGGGAGAAGAGCAGAGGAGCAACTCCAAGTGGGGGTGAGACTCCGACACTCAGCACCAGAGGCTGGTGTGGGAGCTGGAACAGAGGAAGGCATTAATGAACAGGGAGGATGAACACAGAAAAGGCAGGCACAAGTTAGGATAAGAGGCAGTCGGTGTGTACAGAAAAGCACTTGATCGAGTTTAGAGCAGGACGCTGTGAAGGGCATGTTTCACTAGTGTTTTCAGACAAGTTCTAGATGCCAGTTGCAAATGTAACAGTGAAACAGATAGACACACAGCTTTGGACTTTGTTCACAGGAAGCTTGTAGTCTGAAGCTTCCTTTCTCCCCCAAATCTTGGCACAACTCTCCTGAGTGCTATACTGAACCTTACCTAGTGCAGGCTCTGGACAGATTTACGAGAAAAGCTCTTGTATGACTTGCACTTGGTTCCCCAGAGCACACAGCTCAGAAATCTCAGCAGGGGTCTTGTTACTCAGAGGAGGGCGTCTCTAGATGGAGGAAACATGTCCAGTGCAAAACCACCATTATGGTGCACACAGCTGGCAGCTTAGATACTGCTGGCACTCGTGACATGGCATCACAGGACACTACTTTCCAGATCCCCCACCTCCAGGAATATTCCAGAACAACAGACTTGGGAGCAGCTTATGCCACTAGGCTCTGGAGTAACACACGCCATCACAATTTTCACAGCGCTTCCTCCAGTTGGCAAGGCCCACTCTCTCATGGAAGAAACTCAGGATATTTCACTATCGGAGGCTTGCTCTGAGAGAAATAGGACAAGGGTCTCCCCATAATCTCATGAAATACTATTATTCTGCCTCCTTTAGGCTCTCATATTCGTCGTCTAAATAACATTAAGAGACCAAATCCTTCCAAAGTAAATAGAGGCAGGAGCTGTGCTTAAGAGACGGTGGAAGAATATCAATAGAGCAGCAATACAAAAGAGTCACTTATATATAGGCAACACTGCTGACTGCATCACAAAAGCTCCCTTGTGTGCAAAGCACAAACAACTCAACATAGCCATAAGCTTCAATGATCAAAGCCCAGATCAACCCAGGGCTTGATTCACCTACCACAGAGTAGCTAACATGTTTAAAATTAGCTAACGTTTAAAATGCCAGTAAATTAGAGCTCTCAATCTGCTGTAGATTGATGTGTCAAACAAACCACTGAAGTCCAAATATGCTTATAAAAAAAAATCCAAGACATTGTATAAGGACCTACATAGCATAGAACCCCAGAGTCAGTTTTTAAACTTCAGAGCAATGGTGGGAAACTTTAGTTCCATGAGACTGGGCACTAGATTTCCAGAAGCCAGATCTATTCCAGCAATAGAAATGGCAAGCAACACCAGTCTGAAGAAGAGATTCAGAATTCTTCCCATTTGGATTCAATGGTGTTATCTGGTTTTATTCCGACTTAAGAATCCAGTTATAGCTAGAGTCTGAGGCACTGTCATATGCTGTTAGTGAGGTGAAGGGAGAAGACATGATTTCATACGGGGAATGAGAGCAGAATTGTGAGCCAGCTCAGAGTCGGATGAACTGTTCTCTGTTCAGCCAGCCAAGATTCAACAGGCATTGAGAGAGACAGCTACAGCCCGGGTGCTCTGAGCACTCCTTTCACAAGCTCAGCACCCCAACCCAGAGAGCTTTTAGCTCACTGTCGTCTCAGGAACTAGTAGCACTCACTCCTTTTTCTTCTAAAGCCCTAATCCCAACTAGTTCACACCTCTGCCCACCTCCTCTATCACACTCCAATCCATAAAGAAAGGAAGGTGAGTACTGGTGTCTGGAGAACCACAATGAAGACCAGCCCTTTCCTCTTTGAAGGAAAGGGCCTATGCAGGCTGCAGGGAGGGCACAAGCTCAACACCAGGAAGACTCCTGATAACCATACCTGCTGCAATTTCCATTGCTTGTCTTCGCGGAATGTGAAGTGCAGGAGCTGGTTATTTCTGGGCATTTTCAAATTAATATCCTTTAAAAGAGAGAGAGAGAAAGGCAGAGATGAGAGGAGCTCCCGCACAAAACTCAGAGCAGGGCTCCCCCTGAGCAAAAGGTGCTGCTCATACCCCTTCAAAGCCATGTATCTCATCTCCAACAGATCCACTGACATTGACTGCTGAGTGGGGGCATTTTGAGCAGTACTGGTTCAGCCAGTTTTTCGCCTTACTTCTACGAGAGGGAGACGCAAGGCGTAAATGACAACGTCGTTACTGAATTGGGCCCAGAGAGGAGACTGCCAGTTCATTTTAGGAGGTGTTGCGGGAACTCTGATGATAGAGATAAGGGGCAACATAGGTGAGAAGCCCATCAACTAAGAAGGGTCTATTGCAATACCTACCGCCGAGATTATAATATTGCAAACACTAATGATATTTCACTCGGTCATCATAAATAATGAACTGTCCCAGGTGAGTGAGTGGCAGTTTTGGAAGGCTGAGTTAAAACAGGTCTAAGACTATACATCATGCATATTAAGACTGGACTGCAGCTAACCAAAGTGCCACTCCCTAACTGGGAGAGAACACACCCCAGTAGGATAGCACACGTGTAAGGACAAAATCTTCCTCCTCCTCATCCCTGCACTCAGATTTTCCTAGATACAGATTTCAACCCCTGGCATCATGTCTCAGCAGTGTGTCAGCTATGCAAGAACTGCCTTGTTTAGCCACAGAGTTGGCTGCATCTTCGTCCAGTTGCCTGGCAGCGTTTGGCTGGTACCAGAGCCTATTGTAAAACCAACCAAAGCAATGGCAAGATGCAATCACTGTGGTACCGAGGTGGCATCACTAGACAGCAACCAGCCAATCACCACCATAGAGGGCAGCTCCAGCGCCAATGAGCTTGACACATCTTCCCACTTGTTGACATCTGACGGAACAAGGTCTAGCAGGGGAAAAAAGGCATGGAGTATGCTTCACCGCTGATCAGAAAAGAGAAGAATAAAGGTATTCACCACTTGCTCACCCCAGGGCTAGCACAAAGTGATTGGTGTGGATTGGTACTCACAGCTTGGCATAGAGCATCTCCCTGCAGCATCAACACTCCTTTCACCTGGTCTGCGCTGGAATGACAAAACAGTTCCAAACAGTGAGAGTCACAGGAGGCAGCCAGCCTCACCCCCAGCAAGAACAGGTGACCAGCCTCCACCCTTACCAACCAAAATGCAACACAGCAGAGGGCAGCAAGGACCTTCCCCACTCCCAGGTGGGCACACAGGAGCTCTCCAGTGTTGGTCCGAGTATATCCTGTGGACAGCTCAGCTAGGGAGATGCATTCTCACCACCTACTCTTAGATCAAGCCTCCTGCCAGCAACTATAATATTGCTTGAGAGTTGCTCTCTTGTGTAACTGACCTGCTAAGAGCACTAAAGTCCCATCCTAAACTAGTTTCCTCCCTGTATTAACAATCCACACTCTGTTCACCATTTAAACATTAACACCTTTTGTTTAAACATTAGAGTTCTGGCACTAACAGCAGGGACGCAAATCACAAACTAGGTTATAATCTGACATTGTGTATGCTTTCTGCTTATGCCATAGAGGAAGTTGAAGGGTAGTGCTGGGTAACTGGTCACCTTCTGCAAAGGTCCCACCTTCTCACCAATCCTGTTACATGTTTACATGAAACAATGACAGGAGACTAAAGTACCTGGGCTTTAAGGACTTCACTTTATGAGCCCATCTCATTTAACACAGACACCATGATCTCACTGACCTCCCAGCATCTGAGAGAGACCCGTCTCCGGATGGAGACAAACCTGTTGCAGTTCAACCCAAAGTAGATTGAAGTGATAGTTGACAGAAGAGAGAAACATCTGGAGGAATGGACAGAGACAATCTCTGCACACACTATAAACACCCACAGATTTTCCCCTTTGGATACCAGAATCCCTTGCTCCACAGCTGTTCTGAGAACTTTTGTGGAAGCTTGTTTCACTGTCTACTGTGTAACTCTACAGAAGTACAGCTGGACTGGAGGCTCAGAAATGGTGACTATTACAGATGCAGTTTAGTAGTAACCGCACTTATATAGCGCCTTTCATCCAGATCTCTCACTGCTTTGTGAGGTCGGTAAATGTTATTCCTATTTTACATTTGGGGAGACTAAGACATGGAGGTTAAGGGACTTGCCCAAGGCCACACACAGAGTCAGCAGCAGAGCCAAGAATAGACTTCAGATTCCTTGAGTCCAGGTCTCCAGCTGTAAGCACTAGACAGGGTCTCCTCATTATTCACACTTTGAACATGGTGAGAACTGATCTAACTATTCTGCAGTGATGAAATGAATCAGAATATGGCCCCAAAAAACCACCTGGTGATTCCACTAAAGAATCAAACAGGAAATTGGCAAAGCCTAAAATGTGATCCATTTAAAAAGTACTTTCATCTGATGGGAAGTATCTAATTTTATTTAACCCTACCAAAAGAGTGATTTTTTTTGAGTGCCCTATTCTTATGGGATCAAAGAAATGAACTTCCCACCCTGTATGGACATTACCAAAGATGCTAATGCATATAAATAGAGTAAACAAGGACAGGTATGTATATTTTAGCAGGCAACTACAATTAATGTTTGATAAAATGGCAAGAAAGCAAAACAGATGGGAAAGCCAAGTGTTCATTCTTTAGAAGGTTATTAAACAATGATTAAATGAGCATTGGATAACTGCCTTTTACAACACAAACAGCAAAATATCATCAGGCTTTCCTCAGAGCGACAGTCTCTTTTTTAAAGGGCTGGAAATCTGCAGCAGTAAAGGCTCAAATAATGAAATTATGGCTGAATATTTCAACATCTATTTAGAAGCAGATATTCAGCTATCGACCCAACCACTCAGCTGTGGGAGTAATACAGTACAACAGGTAAGGTGGGATTTACAGAACACAGGGTGGGTAGCTCCCAGCTACAGCTGTCCGATGGGGGCTCTTCTCTTAGCCTTGAACTGCTGCTTTTCTAAATGCCACTGCATTCAGATCTCCATGTTACGTAACAAAGCAGATGAAATGGGGGAGGGAGGAAGATGTGACATGTAAATGATTAAAGTAAGCTAGGAGAGCAGCAGGCGAGAAGAGACAAATAATGCCAAACTGTCACAGATGTTATAGGAAAGGAGGTATAATTGTGCAGCAAAGTAAATTAGCTTCTGCGCTCTGCAACCCAGGCACCTGGGTCACTAGAAGGTGGATGTGCTCAACTATGGAAGTGTTCTACTGTCTCCAGATGTTAAATGAGAGATAGCAACAACAGGAGAATCTGTGTAAAATGGGAGTGAATTGCCTCAATCCTCCACATCCTTCCCCTTCCTTTCCTACACAAGGAGGAACCCAAGACCAAACGTGTACATGGAGAACAAACACTTACCTTGAAGTGCCCAGCATGAAATTCTCCTGTTTGACTGGTCCTTCTGTGCCACCAACAGGCAAAGCAAACCTGTGAGAAGCCTCCTGCACAACAGCAAAGGGAGCTGACACTGTGACTGGCTGACAAAATACTGCAATATCCTGGACAAACTTTATGCAATTAAGATTAACTTTACTGAATTAAGTTAAACCGTAATGAATTAGGTTTAATCCTTTGGGGTCCATTGTATTAAAAATGCAATTGTGTAGGTGTTATTGTGGCATTGTATGCAACTCCTCTAGGAGGAGAGGGATACTAATGTAAAGCCACTCCTGGAGAGGTGCAAATATGCTCGTTCAAACTGGATTCTCCAGGGACCACCAGACCAAGAAAGGATTTTTGGATCAACAGCCTAGTTTTAGCTCAGGGCCTTCTTCCTGATTAAGTAAACAGACAAGTCCCTTGGTCCAAGAAGGGACCCAATCCTTAGGGAAGGGTTGGAAGGACTGGGGCCCATAAGACTGTGGTCTTGTTCTGAGCTGAAGCTGCGATGAACTTGAAACCACAAGGAAACCCCTTGAGTGGGGTTTTAAAGGGCTGCTCCTGCCAGAGCTCATGTTAGGGTTGGGGGAGTCCTCTGGTTAGCTTATTAGTATGTGTGTAGGGTTTTTTAAATGGTTTTTAATATATTTTCTTTGGGGATAAAGAGAGATCTTTGCTCTCCAGGGCTGCCACCCCAGCATTGTGTTCACACAGAACAAAACAGCAACCAGAAAAAAGCAACTGAAAATTCCCTATGCATGGCTGGAACTGGCTCGATACCTTCAGAATATCCTGCAGCTGTCTCAGGACACCATGAACCTCCTCTTGCAAAAGCCATTTAAACTCTTCTTCCTACAGCCATGGAAAGACAAAACAGGAATCATTTATGAGAGTCTTTTAGGGCTTTCACAGGATGCTTGATCTTAATTTCTTTCTGAGACACAGAAGCACATAAACCATGAAGAACAAGTTTACTGGTATGTGCAGGTGGAAATGTAACAAGAGGTAAGGTAGGCAGTTTTTGACTGAATTGTTCAAAGGGCTATTTTCTCTACCTCTCCATGCTGCCTATATACCCTTTCAAAATATCTTGCCTTGACTCCACTGATCAAATGTTTATTTATTTAGAGCATTATATGAATAATAATGGTGGTAGGTGGCCCTGGTTCTTATACTGCTCCCATCCATGTGGTTTACCAAACAGCAGCAGCTTAATTAGGAAAGAAGCTGAAATAAATTCAGCTGAGGGGACTGGACTGTTTGCACAAATTCAGTAATAAACAAGTTCAGTTCTGATGGGACAACTTCTCAGCTGACCTCAACCAGTTGTCTGCTATGGAGAAAGCCTGTGCAAACCAGATCCTGAATATGAAGCTGCAAACCTGAAGTATTAGTATAAAAACACCCTTGGTCAAAACAACACCAAAGGTAGTAGGTGTGTGCGCATTGGGGGGAGGATTACTTTCACCACAGCGAAGTAGGGAAGGGCAATCCCCATTTTTCACATGGGAATAGAGGCACATGGTAAATAAGTGTCTTGCCCAAGGTGTCACAGGCAGTCTGCGGCTGGGAGTCAGGAACTGAATCAGGTCTCTCAAATCCCAGTCTAGTCCAATGGCCTAACTACTATACCATTCCTACCAATATGTACTAGGAGAAGTGTTAGCAAATCTGTGGATTTTCGCCTAGCTCTTTTCACAGGAGATGGAAATGTCCTACTGGCAAACACCTTTTGAATGAGGGCTAGGACAAAGATGTTGGTTATAACACTCGTTAACCTGCCAGATGTGCCTGTCGGGTGCACATCTGGATAAGATTCCATTTCATAAAATACCTGTTAACCACTAAGTGCCAACAAAAACTTGAGATACGTTATAGCGGGAAACAATGAGAGGTTTGATCCTTTGGTGGAATCAGGTTTGGGAGTTTGCTAGAATGAGGTAGCTTACAGCAAGTCAAACATGATATGGATCCAATCCAGAGAATCAAACAATCCCTCCCTGAGTACATCTCCTTAGAAAGAGTCTTTACAAAACCACTGAACACATTAAATGTTTAAAAGAAAAACTTTTCAGCTCTTAAGAACAGTCATTTCTGCGGTGGTAAGAGGTTCCATTTGGGGGGAGAGTAGGCAAAGAGATTCACTGCAACATGAAGGACTCTCCCCAAAGCCTAGAGGATGGCAGCCTTGAGACCTTCCATCCTGTCCGGTACAGCCATGGAAGGTTAGTTGGGTGGACCACCAGAATGGTTTAGTTCTTTCTATGTAGAAAGCTAGAGCCCATCTAACCTCCAGTGAGTGAAGACATCGTTCACTCTTATTTGCATGAGGTTTCAGGTAAAAGACAGGTAAGTAAATTGCCTGATTGCTATGAAATTGTGAAACCACTTTCAGGAGGAAACTGGGATGAGGCTGTAAATACACCTGACCTTTAAAGAAGACCACATACAGTGGCTTCGATGTGAGGACATGGAGTTCAGAGACTCTTTGGGCCTAAGTGACGGCAATTAAGAAAACCACCTCCCAGAAGAGGTATAATAAAAGAGCATGTTGCTAAAGGCTCAAACAGTGGTCCCATAAGTTCTGACAAGACCAGGATCAGGTCCCAAGGGGAACGGACTCCCTTACTTGAGGCCTTTGAGGAATATGACTGACATGTCATTTGAAAAGCAGACTGGTTATCCACCCTCCGGAGGAAAGTTAATATTGCTGCCAAGTGAACTTTGACAGAAGAAATTGCTAAGCCTTACTGGTTCAGGTGCGATAATGTTTTGGATGGATGAACGCATGGGTGAGACTCCGGATTGGGATGCCCAGACTTAGAACAGCTTCCATTTTGAGAGGTAAGTAGTCCTGATGGAGGGCTATTATCTAGAAGGACCTGGCAAACTTGCTTTGAGCAGCCTGCTCTCTGGGATTTAGCCAGGGAGCTTACAGGCCGTTAAATGAAGGGAACTCAGGTTTGGGTGGAGCAACCAACCATGGTCCTGAGAGATCAGGTCCAGGTACAATGGGAGTGGGACTGGAGTCGCCATTGAGAGGTCTAGCAGAGTGGAGAACCAGTGTTGGCAGGGCCATGCTGGGGCTACCAGAATAACTTGGACCTGGTCCTGCTTGATCTTTAGCAGCGCTCTGTATAAGAGTGGGATTGGGGGAAAAGTATAATAAAGCTGTCCCGTCCAAGGTAGCAGGAAGGTGTCTGTGATGGAACCTGGACTATGACCTCATTGGGAACAGAGTTCGGAACAACAGAAGGAGTCACAAAAAGAGCAAGGCTCCTTGAAACGGTACATCCTGAACAGTCTGTTGGACCTCCTTTGGGAGATCAGAGGACTGTAACCATGAACTCTTGGGCATGGCAACTGCCGAAGCCATGGACCTGGCAGCTGAGTCAGCCGCATCCAGAGCAGCCTGTAAAGAGGCCCTTGCCACTGATTTTTCCCTCGTCCACTAGCAAGGAGAACTCTTGCCTAGCCTCTTGTGGGAATCCCAGATGTTAAAATCAGACCTGTCCAGCAGCACCTGCTGGTTTGCAATTCTGAGTTGTAACCTCCCCCGCAGAATAAACTCTCCTACTGAACAGGTCTAATTTCTTTGAGTCCTGAATTGATCCTGTCTCTCTCTCTTACTGGCAGCAGATACCCCCAGGGATTCCGGGGGGATAGGTTTAAAGGAACTCATAACCTTGGGCGGGAACATAATATTTTCTTTCAGCCCTTTTTGAAGGAGGCAGGAAGGGATGCGGGGGTCTGCCACAGAGCCTTAACTGGTCCATAATGGCCTCATTGAGAGGCAGAACTATTTTAGAAGGGCCCGTAGTAGCTAAAATGTCAACCAGGCTGTGGGAGGACTCTTTCACTACCTCCATTTGTACGCTCAGATTCAAGGCCACCATCTTTAACAACTCTTGGTGAGCCTTATAATCATCTGGGGGAGACAACATGTCCCTTCCTGAGATTGTTTTATCAGGGGAGGAAGCCAGCACTGGCTGTGGGTGCTCTTCTTCCCTTTCTGCATCAGCAGGATCCCACTGAACTGGCTCTTTGAGTTTGATACTGGGCTTGGTACCCAGTAGGGCGGTGCCGCCCATCTTTCAGAGGTCACTGAATAGGAGCACCTGGAATATGCCCTGGAAACTGGGGGAAAACCCCACCGGTTCCAAAAGGGCCACCGGACTGGTGCAGGTCCCCAGTGACCTCCTGGCCAACCACTCAATGGTACTCCTGTGCCCGGATCCATGATAGGGTGGAAATGCCTAGAGGAGTAGCAAGAATGGCTTCAAGGATGGAAAGAGTAAGACCCGATTCTGAAGAGGACGAGTCTCTCTCTAGTGACTGCAGAGGTGCTGTTCCCAACCGTGTCAGAGATCAGTGACGGGGTAGAGAGGTCCGCACTGAGGCAAGCATTGCAGGTTTCTCTTCTGATGGTACTGTGCCCTTCACGTTGAAATGACCCAGCTGGTTCACTCCTGTCCACCAGTACCAATAACACCAACTCTTGTACTGCTGACAATACTGGTACCGACAGCGAGAGAAGGTCCCTGGCAGCTACAAACGCTTCTGGTGTGGTAGGTACAAAAATAGTATCGGTACTGCACAGTGCCACCAATATAGAAGCTCTTCTGGTATCAGACTTGACGGTGCCTGCGTAGGTGCCAGAATCAATGGTGCCAGCTTCTATGGATCTGAGGTAGAGGAGTGCTTTGGTTTTGATCGCACTCTACTCTGATTCCCAAGCCTGGCAGCCTTTGGTGCCGGGGATGCCCCCTTTTGGCATGCTGTTTCTTATGTCTTTTTCTGGGCTCTGGAGATGGTGATTGGTGCCGGGACTCTGGTAAAGTAGGAGGAGCACTCCTTACTGATGCTGAGGCATTCGGCCTGGCTCAGATGAAGGTCTCAGTGCCACCTCCGTGAGCAGGATCTTCCGCCTGGTCTCACGATCCTTCTCCGTCTGAGTCCTTGCAGATCTAGCAACGGTCCCCCAGTATGAGCATCCCTCGGGCACTTCAAGTAGTTTGAATGCCAGTTGCTCAAGGGCATAGCCTTGTTGCAGGAGACGCAGGGCTTGAAGCCCGGTGACCAAGGCCTCCCTCGGTACTGGGGATCAGATGAAAACTCCAATAATCATGATAACTAATTTACAAAAACTAACTGTGTACAATAAAAAGAGAAAGTCCACTGGGAGAACTTGTGAATGCAAGGAGAGCAGTTCCAGTGACCGTCACAGGCGGTAAGAAGGAATTGAGAGGGCGCAGGGTTGGCTGGGCGCTTTATACTGGCGCAAACAGTGTGCAGCAGCAAAGGGCGCTTGAGCCACCATGACTGGTACCACTAAGGGAAACATTTCTGGTGACTGTGCGCAGGGCGTATGCACATCTAGAATAGAATGCATATGTGCAGTCATTCGAAGAAGACGAACACCATATCAACTGTATAAACCACTTTTAAGCTTAAAAACTTCTTCCATTTTCAGGGCACACACAGACTGACTTGGTTTTCATCCTTTGTTGATCAGTCAGTGTATCGATCTTCGGGGCATGCTATGTTTTTGCAGATGTTTGAGAACAGCTGAGAGACTTGGAATAGTTGGGATTCTTGGAGAGGGTGAGGCATATTTATATTCACACAGGTGTTGGTTGGTTGGTTATTTTGTCACTTAAAACAGTTCCAGCCTAACTGTGTTTGGAATACTTCTATGAACTTGTTAAAAGTCTACAGCTCAGAATAGGCACCTTTGGTTTAGAAGTCTCAAATCTCAATATGTAGAATTTGGGGCAATTTACTCATCCACGCATGAATTTACACCAAGTGGCATATGGCACCTGCAATGTCACAGACTGACACATCCAAGGTGACTTACACAGCAGCAATTTGTTTTGCTCAGTTTCCTAGGGTACCCTGGACCTTTTTCTAAAGCAGATAAAACCACATCATAAACACATCCCTCTGTCCAAGGCCATTTTAACTCAGAAAGCACAGAGATTTTAATAATTAACCTGTTTCTGTTTCCATGATGGTACATCCCTTTATTAAGGAGAATGCACAGACAGGAGGAGGTGGGAGAAAAAGACCAGGATGTACACAGGCTCTAAGTATTTATCTTGGTTTTTTTCTTGAGCTTTTCAAATACCTCTGGGGAGCTACTTATGGCACCCACATAAATTCTTGTCTTCCTTGAATTCCTGGACATCAGATCTCAGATATTATAACTTCATACATGTCACATGAGACTATAAGAAATAAAACACAAAAAAACACATCCAGAGTTCTCTGGCTTTGTTTGATACAACCCAAGTGTTACTATTTGGGGGTTTCCTGTGACTTCTGCAGAACCTGATTCACTGCCCTAATCAAAATTAATATGAAGAATTATGATTGGGGATTGACAGAAGGGAGTATAAATCAAACAAGCCTGATCAGAGAAGAAAAGCTGAGGGGCTTGGGATGGCTGGGATTCTCAGAGAGGGTGGAGTATGTTTATATTCCTGCAGGTCTTGGTTGGTTGGTTATTTTGTTACATAGGCCTGATCTACACTACACAGTTAGGTCAATTTAAGGCAGCATACGTTGACCTAATTATGTCAGTGTACACACTATAGCAGTGGTTCTCAACCCACGGCTCGCATGCGCATAGGCGCCGACTTCTAATGGCACCAGTGGGTGCTTGACCCCCCCTCTGTCCCCGGCCCGACTCCGGGTGCGGAACAGGGAGGCAAGAAGCCCAGGTGGCTACAGGCTCTTGGAAGGGAGCTGTGTGGAGCTGAGAGCCCTGGCTCTCAGCCCCCCTCCCCTCTTCAGTGGGTGACAGCGCTCCTGGTGAGGACATGCACCACTGACAGAAGGAGGGCAGTGTGGACATCAGCAGTAACTACTGCAGTGTCTGTAAGTCGACCTAACATAGGTCGACTTAAGTCTAGAATGTAGACATGCCTTTAGGCTAGAGTTGTTTTAACTGCTATTCCACCCACCTATTGATTACAATAGGGTCTCAATTAGAACACAATTTCAGGCACATTTGTTAATTAAGTTCTTGATGGACAAATCCATGCACATCTTGGTCATAAAAATGTCCTTTAGTACTGATGTTTAATTTCAGCCATCCAAGGCCAAAGGCCTCTTGGGTACTTTAGAAATAGATAAAAATTATCAGAGACAGCATCTGTAAAATTTCCTCCAGCCAGCAAGTTACAATCCTGAACCAAAAACAACATGAGTAAAATGCTACAGAGTCATGAACCTTGATTTACAGAGGATGTACTAGTGAGTAAGGCTTTCAGCCCTGGAATGTCCTGATAAGGCTCCACTTCCCATCCTCAAGATCCTATCTTGGGGAAGGACAAGTAGCTCCAATTTGCTGATCTTAATCGTCTTCACAGGACAGCAGCAGACAGTTCCTAAGGGGCACTGATCCTATATCAATGAAGGCTTTCCGTATTAAGAACAAGAGACTAATACACTGGACAACAAGTAGGCAGTGCCCTGCAAGCAATATTTAAGGGTGGCCCAAGGAAAGCGTGCCCTGAAAGAAGAGGTCAGGGATGGGAAATGCCTGATGGCTGCTAGGCAAACTTCAGCTTCCCTGCTTAGTTCACAGTCAGCAATGACCCCGTGCCATGAACCCCATTAATACAACCTAGATGGAGCTACTATAAGGTGGGTGCCTATCTAGTTGAAAAACCGTTCCCAGAGAGTAGTTATCAGTGGTTCACAGTCATGCTGGAAGGGCATAACAAGTGGGGTCCCGCAGGGATCGGTTCTGGGTCCGGTTCTGTTCAATATCTTCATCAATGATTTAGATAATGGCATAGAGAGTACACTTATAAAGTTTGTGGATGATACCAAGCTGGGAGGGGTTGCAAGTGCTTTGGAGGATAGGATTAAAATTGAAAATGATCTGGACAAACTGGAGAAATTGTCTGAAGTAAATAGGATGAAATTCAGCAAGGACAAATGCAAAGTACTGCACTTCGGAAGGAACAATCAGTTGCACACATACAAAATAGGAAATGACTGCCTAGGAAGGAGTACTGTAGAAAGGGATCTGGGGTCATAGTGGATCACATGCTAAATATGAGTCAACAGTGTAACGCAGTTGCAAAAAAAGCAAACATCATGCTGGGATGTATTAGCAGGAGTATTGTAAGCAAGACATGAGAAGTAATCCTTCCGCTCTACTCCACGCTGATTAGGCCTCAACTGGAATATTGTGTCCAGTTCTGGGCGCCACATTTCAGGAAAGATATGGACAAATTGGAGAAAGTCCAGAGAAGAGCAACAAAAATGATAAAAGGTCTAGAAAACATGACCTATGAGGGAAGATTGAAAAAATTGGGTTTGTTTAGTCTGGAGAAGAGAAGACTGAGAGGGGACATAGTTTTCAAATACATAAAAGGTTGTTACAAGGAGGAGGGAGAGAAATTGTTCTTCTTAACCTCTGAGGATAGGACAAGAAACAATGGGCTTAAATTGCAGCAAGGGAGGTTTAGGTTGGACATTAGGAAAAACTTCCTGTCAGAAGTGACAAAGAGTCCTGTGGTACCTTATAGACTAACAGAAGTATTGAGCATCAGCTTTTGTGGGTGAATACCCACTTCGTCAGATTCACCCACGAAAGCTTTTTACAGATCCAGACTAACACGGCTACCCCTCTGATTCCTGTCAGGGTGGTTAAGCACTGTAATAAATTGCCTAGGGAGGTTGTGGAATCTCCATCATTGGGGATTTTTAAGAGCAGGTTGGACAAACACCTCTCAGGGATGGTCTAGATAATACGTAGTCCTGCCTTGAGTGCAGGGGACTGGACTAGATGACCTCTCGACCAGTTCTATGCTTAACCTGGCCAGGGCAGGGGCAGCCACTATCCAGGCGAGATGCTCCATCTCCAAACTGTCCGGGGTAACGGTGTCTGCGATGGCGGAGAGGGGCCGGGTGCCGTGCTGGGGGCACTGCCCGGCAGGGAAGAACGGCCCCAGGGCAGGCAGGCCCCGGGCAGTGCCTCCAGCCCCGGCAGCCCCCCCTGTCGGGCAGCGCCTCTCTCCGGGACACCTGGGGAAAGGGTCCCAGAGCGGGGGGATGGGCATAGGGCCCCCGCCCCCAGAGAGGGCCTCGGGGGTGGGGGCGGCAGCGGGCGCTGCCGCAGGGGCTGGACCCAACCCCCGGGAGGGGACCGGCCCAGGCCCTTGGCAGGGTGACCCCTCGCTCGGGGATGCCTAGCGGCAGAGGAAGGACGGTCCCGGACTCACCAGCACTGCCCGCTCCGCCGCGCTCGCCATCGCAGCCGCCATCCCTCAGCTCTCCACCTTCTCCTCAGCACAGCCGGAGGCTGCCGGCTCCGCTTCGTGCCCGCCCCACTCACTCCTGATTGGCTAGGCACCGGCACCACCAGCCTTGGGATTGGTTACTGTTCTCACCCAGGCCCCGCCCAACGCCGACCCCGCCCACCACGGCTCGGCCTCTACTCTGCCTAGCAACGCGTCACAGGTTGCTGGCGAGTGGCTGGAATTATCTCCGTCCCCCCAGAGCTGGGGGCAAAGACGCACGGGATTGGGGATGACACCATAAGGCCTGGCGTGACATCACAATGTATGTGCAGATGCGCAAGCCTGGGAGGGGCGGGGCCTGAGACTGACTGGTGGTGAAGTGGTGGGGGTCTAGGAGAGGAGGCAGGCTACAGGGATGTGCCCCAGGCCATGCAGGGACTGAGAGCCCATCACATAGATCAGGGGTCTCAAACACGGGGCCCGGGGCTCCTGTGTGTGGCCCACCAAGCTCCCCGCCGCTCTGCCTACCCGAGGGATCGCCTCCTGATGCTGCAAGCGCCGCGCTGCTCTCTGAAGCAGCCGGCAGCACGCCCCTTCGGGCCGGGGGGAGGGGGAAGGAGGCAGAGTGCTCCGGCATTGCCTCCCTCCAGGCACTGCTCCCCACAGCTCCCATTGGCCGGAAACAGGGAACCGCGGCCAATGGGAGCTTCGTGGGAGGTACCTAGAAGAGCTGCACAAGCAGGGAAGCCTGAGCCCCTCCCCCAGGGGCTGCAGGGACACGGTTCCAGTTGCTTCCTGGAATGGAGCAGCTCCGAGCCGGGGGCCAAGGCAGGCAGGGAGCCTGCCCTGGCCCCAGTGAGCGCCGCTGCCACCCCGGAGCCACTCTAGGTAAGCGGCACCGGGCTGGAGCTCACACCCTGAACCCCTCCTGCACCCCCAACTCCCTGCCCTGAGCCCCCGCCACATCCCACACCCCAACTCCCTGCCCTGAGCCCCCGCCACATCCCGCACCCCTCCTGCACCCCCAGCTCCCTGCCCTGAGCCCCCGCCACATCCCGCACCCCTCCTGCACTCCCTGCCCTGAGCACCCTGCACACCTCCTGCACCTCAACTCCCTGCCCTCAGCCCCCGCTGCACCCTGCACCCCTTCTGCACCACCTGGGGGCAGCGTTGGGGTGGGGACTTCAGGAAAGGGATTGGAATGGGGCAGGGAAGCGGTGGGAAGAGGTGAGGCAGGGGTGGGGCCTAATTGGAAGGGGTGGAGTGGGGGCGGGGCCAGAGGCAGCAGGGGGGGGGGAGAGGGTTCAGTGATGCAGCCCTTGGGCCAATGCACTAGTCCTCATGCGGCCCTCGGGGTCATCTGAGTTTGAGACCCCTGACATAGATGAACCAACAGGCAGCCGGTCATTTACCTGTATTAGTGCAAGTCTAAGCCAGCCTTCAAAGCCCCATTAAAACGGGATCGCGACCCACAGTTAGAGAACCGCTGCTTTAGAGCAACCTTTCCAGGTGAGCGTACCCATTTCAGGAGTCTGATTTATCTTCCGTCCCCTATCCCCCAAGTTTCACCTCACTTAAAAACTACTTGCTTAAAAAAATCAGACATAAAAATACAAAAGCGTCACAACGCTGAAAAAATTGCTTACTTTCTCATTTTTACCATATTATAAAATACATCAACTGTTGGAAATAGGCCATCCTGATTATCCCTACAAAAGTTTTTTTTTCTCCTGCTGATAATAGCCCACCTTAACTGATTATTCTCATTATAGTTAGTATGGCAACACCCATTTTTTCATGTCCTCTGTGTGTATATATATATCTTCCTACTGTATTTTCCACTGCATGCACCTGATGAAGTGGGTTTTAGCCCATGAAAGCTTATGCTCAAAGAAATTTGTTAGTCTCTAAGGTGCTACAAGTACTCCTGTTCTTTTTGCTGATACAGACTAACACGGCTACCACTCTGAAACATGTCATCAATTGGAATATAACTATTGTACTTACATTTCAGTGTATAGTATATAGAGCAGTATAAACCAGTTGTATATATCAAATTTTAGTTTGTACTAACTTCACTAGTGCTTTTCATGTAGCCTGTTGTAAAACTAGGCAAATATCTAGATGAGTTGATATGCCCCCTGGAAGGGGCATGCTTACCCCTGGTTGAGAACCACTTGCTTTAGAGCATTTGTTTTGTTCTTTAAAATCAGAGAAGTAAATAAGGGCTACTACTACCAGAACAATCCTGCAACAGCTTCTGGTTACAACTGACTCTGGCCAGATTCAAACCCATGATGTAGAAATGAAAAGGGCTGCTTGTCACATTATCGATCGCCCAAGCCATGCTGTTAGCTACTGTACATTTTCTTAAGAGGGGCAGGGCAAATTTAATTCCCTCAAATAGCACAGCTCTTAGCCAGCTTCCAGGATGTTTTTGTTTTCTTCTTGCACTGGCTTTTGTTCCAGCTGCAATAGGGGATAATCTGATCATGCAGAGCTGATCTCCCCTGCTTCGGGACTGGGAAAGGGGGTGAAGAGCTTTGTTCAGAAGAGATTTCTTCCAGCAAGCCTAGATGCATATTAACTTAGAAGCAAAGTGGAATGCCTGGAGTAAGTATTTACATGCCAATATTCAGAGCTGGCCACCTACAGAAAAGAATATCTATTGAATAAGTTATTCAATGACTATTGTTATGGAGCTAATCTAATACCACAAAACGTAATTTAAATGAGTTATTCAGTGAAAACAAGCATAACATTCAGACAACATGTTCAGAACAGATTATTTGGCCAAGTTTGTTTAGAATACTCTGTCAGCTGTTGCATAACATACCTGGTGTCAGCTTCCGAAACAACTGAAAAGTTTTGGGGTGAGTTTACAGAAGCAGTCAGTTCTCTGCTGCATGCTGTTAAAAAAAAATAAAAAGTTGGCCTCGCTTTGATTTTGGATGCCACTTCTAGCTATTAGTACAGCATTGGAAGAGAGAGGAAAAAAAGAGCTCAGGTTTGAAGATATGAAATGAGCCAGGTTGTTACTGCTGGAGTGTTTTGGAAGAGACTCAGACATAACCTCAAAAGCGGAAAATGTTCTGGGCCATTGCAACTACTTGCTCAGTTTTGTGGAATAATTCCTCTCTATTAGATGCTAGCAAAGAAGTTTGCTTTCATTACCCTGTTTTGTCTTGGACTTTCACTAAGGAATTGAGGATATATCTGCAAGGAAAGAGATTCCAAGAGGCTGAGAGAGGTTTTCTTTAGTCAGTGAAATGGTGACTGTGTTTGACACTATAACAAGACCAGGACACACCAACTCTAAGCGGCACCAGACCCTGCCAAAATTACATGCAAAACCTGCAGACATAAGTCCATTGCTATGCTGATCAATACCTCCCCACAACACACATTTCAAGATCTGTGGATCCTACACATGCCTATCACAACATGTGGCATACCTCATCCAGTGCACTTAATGCCTCAACAACAATTAATGTGGATGAAACCAGATAATCACTAGGCTCATACATGAGCTCATACAGGAAAATGATAAGACCAAAAAAAACCTGTCACCTGTGGGTGAACACTTTTCACAAAGAGATCGCTCTATATGTGACCTATCCGTCCTCATCCTCAAAGGAAATCTGCACAACACTTTCAAAAGACGAGCCTAGGAGCGTAAATACATAACTTTGCTAGACACTAAAGCCATGTCTATACTAGCGAGCTTACAGTGGCACAACTGTACAGATGCAGCTGTGCCGCTGTAAGAAAATATGCTAATGAGTGAATGTAATGTAACTGAAATATGCTTCATGCAAAAGGTCTCTTGTAAGATATCATTACAAAGCTTATAATCTACTGAGTGTGATCATCCTATTTGTATAAATGTACCACTCTTGTATTTGAAACTAGAAACATGAAATATAACTGACGGCTTATTGTAATTATGCAAAGTGTGGGCCATTAATGGTGGTTTGGAATCTTGATGACTCCCATTAACCAGGACAATTGACTGCAGATGGCTCTGTTTTACTTGTAAGTCTTCCTGTATGTGTGTGTGCTGGCAATTGGTCAATGAAGTCTTGCAATGACATGTGATCATGTCACCTGAACTGGAACCCATCTTTAACCTGGTGTCTTTCCATTGAGAAGGAGCGGGTGGGAACCCAGAGAGGGACAAAGGATTCCCACCTTATGCAAAAGATATATAAAGGGGTGGAACAGAACAAAGGGAGGGGAGGAGCTATCATGAAGAATCCCCTAGCTACCACCTGAGCTGGAACAAGAGCTGTACCAGGGGAAAGAATTGTGCCCAGGCCTGGAAGATGTCCAGTCTGAGGAAAAAACTTACTGAAGCATCGCTGAGGGTGAGATTATCTGTATTCAGTTTGATTAGACATAGATTTGCGCATTTTATTTTGCTTGGTGACTTACTTTGTTCTGTCTGTTACTACTTGGAACCACGTAAATCCTACTTTCTGTATTTACTAAAATCACTTTTTACTTATTAATTAACTCAGAGTATGTATTAATACCTGGGGGAGCAAACAGCCGTGCATATTTCTCTATCAGTGTTATAGAGGGCGAACAATTTATGAGTTTACCCTGAATAAGCTTTATACAGGGTAAAATGGATTTATTTGGGTTTAGACCCCATTGGGAGTTGGGCATCTGAGTGTTAAAGACAGGAATGCTTCTGTTAGCAGCTTTCAGGTAAACCTGCAGCTTTGGGGCAAGTAATTCAGACCCTGGGTCTTTGTTGGAGCAGACAGGTGTGTCTGGCTCAGCAAGACAGGGTGCTGGAGTCCTGAGCTGATAGGGAAAGCAGGGGTAGAAGTAGTCTTGGCACATCGGGTGGCAGCTCCCAAGAGGGTTTCTGTGATCCAACCCGTCACACCGAGCCTGGGAGCTTAAATACATAACTTTGCTAGACACTAAAGCCAGGTCTATACTATTGAGCTTGCAGTGGCACAGCTGTGTCGCTGTAAGATTGCTTCTGTAGCCACTTGACACTGACGGGAAAGAGCTCTCCTGTCAACATAATTAAACCACCTCCACCTCCAACGAGT